TAGCTACTAACACTGTGACTTAATAACAAAACAATAGCTATTAACAGTGTGACTTAATAACAAAAAAACAGCTACTAACACTGTGACTTAATAACAAAACAATAGCTATTAACAGTGTGACTTAATAACAAAACAACAGCTATTAACACTGTGACTTAATAACAAAACAATAGCTATTAACAGTGTGACTACTGAGGTTCGTCTAACAAAGTTCATCCTTTCTTGTAAAAGAAATTTTAAACGATATGGATCTCGTAAATTGGCACCTTTTCCCCCATGATTTCAAGTTAGTGCTACACACATACACAAAGATGAATATTTATTATGTATCTGTCTTGCTCAAATTTCAGTTATATACACGATATTCAACCTCAAGTCACTTTTAGCTTTCAATAAAATCGACCAGTTGGAGTTTGAAAACGCTCGTAGCGCTTAAGTTGTATTTTTGTTGTGGACTCATTTGAATATCAATATGATTACCTACGTCATTCCAGTCTTACGAGATTAACCTTAAAGGAACTTCCGCTTCGCGAAGGGTTTTATTAGATTATCAATTACTTATATTTGTATGGATTTTTTTTTACTGAAAAATAAAAGCTATGTCTACCTAATGAAAAACGACAAACTGGAAGATCTCAACCAGATTCATAAGAAGGTTTCTGCATTTGCATAGCCAGTTTGGTTGGAATGCTTCGGATATTTAATACAGCAAGTGCCAGCCTTGTGAATTTTTATTATATATCCCCAATTTTCTCCGTGTTTACTTTGGTAACGGTGAGTATAAATAAACATTGTAATTTCATTAATCGAACATATCATAATTCTGCATTTGGTTGCTTGAAGGTAGTGTATACAAAACTCGTGGTCTGCTCGATTCCATGGTTTGAAGCAACACACGTTAAAATGTCAGAGCAAGTGGAATAAACCTGGCGCCTTATCCTGTCAAACCTTTGTGATGAACAAGAGTTTAAAAAAATAGTACAAAGTAATAACGGTGTGGTATTCAGGTACTCTGATGTCTGAGAGATAAAAAAATCAAGTATTTATAAAGCACAGGTTTCGGAAATGCTATAAAAGAAAGTTATCAGGAACACGGATAGCGGAAGAAGACAAACGATACAAGCATTATCTTTATACACAATATTTGGGAACCATAGCTCACTGGCCGATTTCTCGTTGTTGAACTTAAAGTGGTTGCTGTGACTGAAAATAGTTTCCTAAAAACGTTCGCACAGAACAAGGGCTGAAATAATGAATAATGTACTACCGTACTTTCAACTCAGACCAGGGATCTGGTGCGGTATCCCACAATCCTTAGAAGACCTATGTCACTGGCTATCCCAAATAAAATATACAAGTGAGATACACCCACTCATGCCAACTTGTACAAGTATCTGTCATGCTTTGAGATGGGCTTGTTCCGCCCTAGAAAGTAAACAGAGCCACAGGGTCAAACTGATACAGACTCCAACTGGATGCCATTGCTGTATGTAACCTTTACGGATGTCATTAATTACGTACGGGATATATAAAAGAAAATTTGGAAATAATTACCAGAATATACCTTAATACAGTTGTGTTCTAGACTAGTTGTGGAGAGGTGAAGTTAGCAGTTCTTTTAATTGCTAGTAAGGCATTTTTAACAACTCAAACTACCGTAGCAGAAAACATCTGTCGTGCTTTATTGTTAACAAACTTAACTTGTACTTTTTCCTTTCTTTGTATTTCATAAACGAGTAGTGGAGATTTTCCCAAGATTTTCCCCAATGTTGACAAACAAAAGTACAAATCCTGTACTAGTTAACGTTTTTTTAATATGAAATTACCAATTTTAACAAACGTGATAATAGTGTTTCACACAGTTGTTGACATTGTACTAATACGTTAGTGCCTAATTTCTTACGAGTTTTAACAAACAGAGGAACTTATTAATTTACCACTAATATCATTACAGTGTTTCTTAGCAGTAACTACAACCACAGGTATTCAAGTCAAACTCTCCTTGTTATTATTTTTATGTACTCTTTTCAGTTTGTTGGGAGTTTTTTGTTTAATGATGTATATATTTTCAGTTAAGTCTGAGTAAGCATCTTGTAATATCCTTCCGAAAAATATATCATTATTCCATTTAGTAACCTGTCTCCTGGAGAGGAATGCAACAGTAGAATATATCATTATTCTATTTAGTTACCTGTCTCCTGGAGAGGAATGCGTCAGTAAAATGCATCATTATTCCATTTAGTTACCTGTCTCTTGGAGAGGAATGCAACAGTAGAATATATCATTATTCCATTTAGTTACCGGTCTCCTGGAGAGGAATGCGTCAGTAAAATGTATCATTATTCCATTTAGTTACCTGTCTCCTGGAGAGGGATGCGAATACAATAATAAACAGTTTTTAATATGAGAAAATGAAAGGTTATACAAAATCCAGTATTTTATGAAAGATAATAATAACAAAAAATCATGAAAAAAATTCTTGTTTTATTTTCACCTGAGAGGAATGGGGATCAGACTTGAAGGAATATAAGCTTAACGATGATTCTCGTTATTGATCTTCTGAGCCACTTACTTTACTTCCCTGGTTTGTTTTCGGCTCATTGACGAAAGATATACGCCTTGAATGTCTGCGTTAAGACATATAGCTATGCCTATTTCCAGGCATTGGCTGGGGTATTACTAGAGCTTTTATGTCGCTTAACCTAGTCCTAACGGGTGTTTGATTTCTGTAGAAACTCTCTCGTGAAAGGCAGGTCTAAAAG